CCCCGTCAGAAAATTTCTGGATCCGCCCCTGAGGTTTCAGCATGCCTTTTGTAATCCAGGACCCAGTAGTATTTACATTTCTTTACAGAGGTGGGTTCGTCTGAACACCCCCCCCCCTGGATCCGCCACTGCAGAACATAAATTAAATGCCTCCGAATCCAAGGATGCCTGTGAAAATGTTTTCGGAGGTCGTCTCTCAACACCACAAGAGGTTTTCAACACTACTAAATACGCCGGTGTCGATTTGTGTGAACAAAGATGGTTTTTGATGACATTGAGTGCCAATGTTTGTTTCGGAGTTATCCATTGGGAAATACGATCTTAATGCGCTATCCGATTGACGAGTTCACAGCGTTCTGCTACATTCCTTTGCCTGGTCAGAACCAGTGATTGTGATTCCAATATTTCATTCATTTTATATATTTCTTTCATTGTGTGTAGAACTGGAATATGTTCAAATTAAATGCGTATGCTTCAATCGTAAATACTGTATGCATTTTAGTAAAATTAAAATAATCATAGTATAATAATAAATTTATTTTTATATAGCGCAGAATGCAATACCATACGATAGACGCATCGAGAAATAAAATATGGAGAAAGTGAGGACTGAGGAAATTTTGGAAAATTAAAACAGTGGTCATTCCAATTGGGACATTTGGAACAGTTCCAAAGAAATTGGTATAGAGACCAGAATAGATGAGCTTCAGAAAATTGTGATTCTGAACACGGTAAGGATAATGTTGGAAGGTTATAGCAGTTTGAGGAGACTTGTCACCAGGAACAATGTAATTCCATTGGATGTTGATCCATTTTAGTACAACTAATTGTTGTATATAGTATTGTTGTATATAGTATTGTTTTAGGTAGTCATCTTGTTATCTTATTATATATAGTGCCGTATTGTTTTTAGGTTGGGTTCTTGTTTATTGTAGTAGGCAGTATTGTTTATAGGTAGTCTTCTTGTTAATTATCGTTGTATAGTATTGCTTTAAGATGGACTTATTCCTCCATGCTTTTAGGTAAGTCTTCTGGTTAATTAATGTTGTAGGCCTATATAGTATTATTTTGGGTATTCTTGTTAATTATTGTATATAATATTGTTCTTAGGTAGTCTTGATGATGGTGATGGTGAAGATGATGATGACGATGATGATGATGATGATGATGATGATGACTGATGATGATGATGATGATGATATTCATGATGATGATGTTATTGTTTTTTTGCCTAAAACTTAAAAAAAATATTCTTTTTTTGTAACAGCAATCACTGCAGCTTAGTTTATTTTCACCAAATGTATTAACAACAATACTGATGATCATCTATGTCTACGACCCCTATTGCACATGCATACACCCTAATATTCATAACGTTATGTCTAAATGTAATACGGTTTCAACCACTTTGGCCTAATTTACAACACGAACGCATATCACAGTTAGTTATGTACAAACAATACACTTCCAATTCTACAAAATTGTTTAAACTTGAACATGTAAGGAATTTCAATCACTTTAAATATACATAATTATCTTAGACTTCTTTTATTTAAAGAAACGGAAGCTTTATAAGAGATTGCATACCCCCCCCCCCCAGATATTGTTACATAAGGTCTCACAAAACGAAAACGTAAACGTACGTGCATTCGTAAAGCCGGGCATCCCCTGCGCACGACGGTCATCGGTCGACGCGCAACAGATCGTTTTTAATGACGATCCGTTCAGACTACTGCCACCCACAAGCAGCAGACGGCGTCGCGTCGTCTATCGATCACAGAGAACGGAGTTGGATTCGTCGTGCGACGGTCGTACGACGCAGTGAGTGTCCGGCTTTAAACAACACGCGTGTTTGTGGGACAATAAATATTTTATTACCACTCATTTGTTAAACATATGTAATACTTCAATAATCAGCAACTTAAAAAGCCTCATTTTAATTGGACTTTAAGTTTGATTGGATACGCTGGAATGGTCAATTGTACACTCATCATGACATAAACATTGAGTTTATAGACGGTAGATGCGTATCTTGATTTTCAGGATGTGTAACTTGGCGAGCAGGTTCTTGTTGTGATGTTCCGTGATAGAGAGCGTTTTCTTGCACGTAGTTTGAAGTTTGATGCCTGCTTATTTTAGTTTCTCGTCCATATGGTACTACATGCTGATTTCCTGGGAAATGAAAAAATAAACATAGCAACAAACATAATAATAATAATAATAATAATAATAATAATAATAATAATAATAATAATAATAATAATAATAATAATAATAATAATAATAATAATAAATAAATAAATAAATAATTAAATATAATTTGGATTTACTTTTTTTTTTAAATAATTCTGCAGAAATAACGTTTATTTAATCTTTTTATGAATTTTTATATCCGTTACATAAAAATCTGCTCTAAAAACATAACACAGACTTGAGAGTTGTTGATTTATGGTAAAGATTGCCACACCCCCCCCCCCCACCATTATAAGTGCGCGTATGAGTAGATAAAAATCAACCAATTTTAGTAAGAATCGTTTGTTTCCCAATTAGCGTTTGATTAGCTTCCAACTGATAATTAATTAAAGTAGCAATGCTGCGATAACCAGAAGTTATAGAAAACACAAGATTTGCCGTAACAGATAGTTTTCAGTGGCGGATACAGGAATTTGAAATAGAGGGGGCCCAGGGAGGGACTTTGACAGATGGAGAGTCTCTCCACCTCAGTCCCATAATGGTTGGGGCTGCGGTAAGAAAATTTACGATTATAGCAACTCTAGATAGGCCTAACTGGAAATGGCACTTTCAGACTTGAAATTTACAAAAAAAAAAAAAGGAAAACAATTTTTTTTCTCCAATTATTTACAATTTCGAGAACTTTAGGGCAGTAGGGGAGACTGGCCGGCTGCCCCCACCCCTTAATACCCAATGGTTTTCCTACTTTTTCATGGACATACAATTACGTCTCGTAAAGTCCAGTCTGTAAATTGTGACGTGTAACATATACGTCGTTATTACAAATCAATTATTGTGCTGAAGAATAATATGAACAACCAATTTTACTCGTCATATTGGAAGGAACTTGTTCGTGAAAAATGACTGAAAGTAAATTTAACTTATCCTTCAAAATAAATAACATTCTACTTAACAAGGTTAGTATATCGTCTTCCATTTGTCTTAAATTAAATCATTTTAGCAGCACATCAAAAACATAAATTTCATGAAAAAATTAATTTACTATACGAAATTAATTTTATGTCAGGTTATGCAAAGGCGAAAAATCACGCTGATTTGATTTTCATGACGAAAACACCTCCACCGATTGTGGTCTCAGTTGACGTAATATGCGTTATGGAATCCTACCATTAAGCTAGTGGATAATCTAGGCGTCTTAAAATAGAGGGGGTGAGGGTATTGGGATTGGAGGGAACCTCGATGATTAAGTGAGGGGCTCTAGATAGCAAAATAAGGTGATTTATAACTACTTGTGCGTGATTTTTTTTTGCTTAGGACATTTTCAAGAGGAGAAATTGGGGGAAGCCTCCGAACCCCTTTGTAACCACAGCATTAAGCTATCAACAACAAAAAATATTTTTAATGCTTAAAGAGTTTACCTTGAGTGAGCTCGTCTGAATATGCTAATCCTTTAGCAGGTCCTTTTTGCTGGGCATAATCTAAGAGATTTAAAGGATCAGTAGTCTCGTACGCGTACTGATTACTCACGTGACGTCCCTCACCAGAAGTGCTACTAATCACCGAAACATGTTCAACATTTTTGCTTCCCGTGCGTTGTTGGTAATTCAAGCAAGAGTCTGTCGTTGATACTATAGATATATAACAAAAAATAACAAACACAAGATCTTTGTATGATTAGTAATAGTGCATGAATTTTAGCAAAGAGTATAAACTGCAAGAGGTCCGACTGCGCTTATTTTGTATGCAGGCAAGGGAGCGTTAAAAAGTACTACTACAAAGGGGCGTGTCCCTCAAAAGAACGCAGCACGCGTTCGTATCGAAGAAAATTTATGATTAGGGCACCTTTAGATGGCCGGAAATTACACTCTCAGACTTAAATTTTGATAGGAGATCTATATATTTTTTCCCATTAAAAAAATTAGGGGTAGGGGCCTTCAATCGACCACTGCTCAAAACATTCTTTATCCAAATAGGCCTAGTCATAATCACGAAAAATGGGCATGTAAAACCAGATCACATCCTAAAAACAAATGTATGCACTCCCGCCTCATCAGCAGTCACTAAGACATACTCTGGGTCAGGTGTCGACACGATGGAGTTTAATGTCATACCCAGGGCACAATCTGTTTTGAAATGTGGAGATGGGGTGGGAGAATATATCGTGTGTCGACACCCACCTCAGACCCACCATGGTTGGGTCTGAGGTGCGAAAATTTGAGGGAATAATACCTCTAGATGACCAGAAAATGACATTTTTTTGGTAAAATTCATCATCACATCACCGTTATACAGCAAACAATGCCGTAGCCAGGATTTTCAAACAATGCGGAACAATATCATTGTGGACCCACTTTACGCGTAAATTCAAATAATGTGGACTCATTTTCTTAAAAGTTGACCCATTTTACGCAAAAATATGAAAAATCTGTACCCATTTTCTTAAAAGTTGCCTATTTTACGCAAAATATGAGAATTCTAGACCCATTTAAAAAAAAAACAGGACTCATTTTGTGCTAAAACGGAATAATTTAGAATTATTTTTGAAAATGTAGACCCATTCTTTGTAGACCCAATAGAAAAATTGTGTAGGACAGTCCAATTGCCCCAATAGCTGGCTACGGCATTGATTACATAATACTCAAAATGAAGCGCCAACAAATTTCTCATGATCTTTTTATCAGGGATTTTCGGCAACCATAGATATCTTATTAATATGTGTGATTTATCATAGAAAATAAAGCTTATAAACATTTAATTATACCTATACATAATAATAATAATAATAATAATAATAATAATAATAATAATAATAATAATAATAACAATAACAATAACAATAACAATAACAATAACAATAACAATAATAATAATAATACATAATAATAACACCTATATACATGTTTCTCCTGACGCAAATCCAGTTATTGTCTATTCCATCACGACAATAGCAATTATTATCAACACTGCAGCACCCGCTGCTTACTTGGACTCGAATTCAACCCTGGCCATCAGGCGCAAGCTCGGTGGTCTAGAGATATGATGCCAGCCTAGTGATCTGGAGATCGTGGGTTCGAGTCCCACCCTAGAACAACTTGCGATTTTTTTTTTTCACAATCGTTTTCAAACGTACTGAGCATTCAGTACATTTTCACGTCAGGTTGGGCAAAATTACACCTATACTTATAAACATTGTTTTTTAGTATGTACTTTACATATAGGCCTATGTACATATACTTCAAAACCGTGATTTCACAGCCGAAAATTTGAGAAAATAATACCTCTAGATGGCTGGAAATGAGACTTTTATATACTAAAATTCATCATAATTATAATCACCATTATATAGTCAAAATGAAGCGCCAACAAATTTCTCATATAGTTTTTGTAAGGGATCTACTTAATATCCAAGACAAATTAGGCCTACTAAGCTTTAACTATATTATAATAATTGTGATCAACAAATCACAACTTACTTTTTCGAATTTTGCACAATTTTCTTCACTTTTTAATATTATTAATATAATTATCTATTATCACCATCGTCATCAAAATTATTATTATTATTATTATTATTATTATTATTATTATTATTATTATTATTATTAGTACTTAGTATTAAAACAAAACTTTATAAAGCTTGCAAAACGATAAAAATCAAACTGAACCATAGAATAGCAAAATTCTGTATCTGAAAGACCTTCAGGCCTGGAACTTACAGATTTAAGAAGAGGCTTAGGCCTATGTGTTATTATAGTAGGCATATGTATATCGTGTGCTGATGCATATTTACATAGGCCTAGATTAGAAGTATTTATTTTGAGTGACCCTGGGAAAGAATTTGTATTTGCTAGCAAGAACAAGCTTAAAAATGTTAACACTGTGTAGAAAGAGGGGAGCTGCGGCTCCCACGGTTCCCACCTCCCCTGTATACGTCCCTGGTCACTTAAATGCACAATAAAGCTACTACCTTGGCCCCAGCCAACTGAAGTTTAGATAGAAACGTCTCTAGACATTTCCAATTTTATCACATTCATCATTTGCATATTTTATAATATATTTTAACACGCCTTTATTTTTAAATGAAATATAAAGTACTTTAAGATAATACTAAATGTTCATTAAAATTACAAAAATTTTTTTTTTTTTTAAATAAGGCAAGAAAAAAGCAATTTCGCTGTACAATAATACAATAAATAGGTCTAATGTATCATCGTTGATTCCTTCTGCAGGTAATAACACCAGTACCTTACGTACAATTGATCAAAATATATTCTAATCACATGCATAATAAAATCACCTGACTCTCTCCCTGACGGGTTCCGGGGTCGACGAGGCTTCTTGTCGGTTATACGCCGGTAACCCTACGCTGAGTCTGGGCCCGGGCCTTGGCGAAGGCCCGTGCCTTGGCGAGGTTGAGTACTTAGCCTTGCGCATCGTATTATCAGACCATATGTATATAGGATCTGTGTTATGATGATCGCTTGGCGGTGATACTTGACAGGACTAGGCGATTAACAGACTGCAGGGGAGATGCACAGGGAGTCTCATTCAACTGACAGGCACCGGGATGGCTATGCTAGGTTCAGTGCATCATCATGGCTTAGGGGTCGCACTGCTTCCTCCCTCCGTTCAGTTGGCTGTGGGGCCGAGCAAGTAGCTCTATCGTGCATTTAAGTGACCAGCGTACGAGGAGTGAAAACTTGAATACTAAAGAACAGAAATCAAACTTACTAACATTGAATAAGTCAGTGGTTAATTGCCTTGCCAAGGTCCTCGGTTCAATTCCTGTCACAGCAGGACTTTTTCTCACAAAAATAATTTCACTCCCTAAGCCTCATAAGGGTACTTCTCTGATATAATATTGTAACTCCGAGTTTTAGCCGCGGAGGGATTTGGTTTGGGAGAGGAGATGGGATTGAAATGTAGAGAGAAGTGGTTTTGTATGGTTAATTTGAGGGGACACCTTTATATATTAAAATTCATCGTCATCACATCACCATTATATAGTCAAAATGAAGCGCCAACAAATTTCTCATAATACTTTTATCAGAGATTTACTTAATATCCAAGACAAGTTAGGCCTAACTGTTATTAGCTTACTAAGCTTTAACTATATTATAATAATTGTGATCAACAAATCACAACTTACTTTTTCGCCTTTAGCACAATTTTCTTCACTTTTAATATTATTAATATTATTATCTATTATCACCATCGTCATCATAATCATTGTCATCATCATAATTATTATTATTATTATTATAAATATAATTATATTATTATTATTATTATTATTATTATTATTATTATTATTATTACTAGTAATACTGTAGTATTACAACAAAACTTTATAAAGCTTGCAAAACGATAAAAACCAAACTGAACCAAGAATATCAAATTTCTGTATCTGAAAGACCTAGCATGGGACTTACAGATTTAAGATTTTTAAAAATCAAGCTTAGGCCTATGTGTTATTATAGTAGGCATATGTATAACGTGTGCTGATGCATATTTACATAGACCTAGATTAGAAGTATTTATTTTGAGTGATCCTGGGAAAGAATTTGTATTGGCTAGCAAGAACAAGCTTTAAAATGTTAACACTGTGTACAAAGGTGTGGGGTGGGGGTGGGAGCCGCGGCTCTCACGGCTCCCCCTATATACGTTCCTGATACTAAGGCTCTCAGGTATAGAACTATTAAAGCAATTACAAACAGCAGTCGAGGCTGACATGGTTTGCATCACAAAACTCTTAATTAATATGAAGGATAAAGTAAAGAAATTGGAGCCAGGAAAAATAGGCTACTGTGGAAATCAATCGAGCAACATTTGAAGCACCATTGGAGGCTATACCATCTAAAATAATTTGCTGTTATATCGGTGAATGATTTCATCATTCGTTTATTATTTAATAATAATTTCCAAATTTTTGGATGAATAAAGTGATGTCTAGGCCTATGTCTAATAATAAAGAAGGAGAAGTCAAATGATTGAGTGGAGTTGAATAGCTTGGTGGTTAAGATGCTTGCCTTCCAATCCCAGGGTCATGGTTCAATTCCTGTCAGTTGCATGACTTTTTCTCACGACCAAAACAACTCCACTCCCTAAACCTCATATTGAGATTTAGTTTGTGTTAAGCATCATGTGTGTATGTTTGTCTTGTGTGTCGTGGACTGTTTTATGTGTACTGGGCCCTCTGGGAGAACAGTAATGTGTTACTAAAGAGGAAACCCAGAAAGAACAAATAAATAAAAATAAAATAAATAATTAATACAATGATGGAACCTACTTCGTAACAGTGCACTTCCAGTACTGTCCCGTTGCATTGGATTAATCTGATTTACTTTACTTCCTACTAGGTAGCAATGGTTGTTCCCGTGAAAGTAAAATATTAGGGCGATTTCGCAACGTTACGAAAAAAAAAACATTAAGGAGTTTCCGCAAGCTTACGAAAACGATAACGAATACGGTTACGTCATTTTTATTTAGTAAATCCATCCCATACAGTAGAATGAGTAGGTTATCTGTGACAACGTAGGCGATTCAATACTTTTACCTAAATCAACGATCATATGTATTGTTAAGAATGTTTTAGGCACGAATAACGAGATTAATATGACGTATTCGTATTTGTTATCGGTTTCGTAAGGTTGAGAAATCTTCCTAATCTTTTATGCACGAATTACGATAATGATAATGTCATTCGTGATTAAACCTTCTCGACAATAGATATACAGTACGAGTTGATTGACGAGTAAAAGGCATTGATCGCCTACGTTGTGACCAGGGAATAGTGAAATTTCACTGTTCCCTGGTTGTGACAGATGCCATTGTGGGGGATGTAGTCTTTCAAACAATCAATTATCAATGTAGTTTTTAAACAATTTATTATTACTGTAGTTTAATGTAGTTTTTAAACAATTTATTATTACATACCTTCACTATGTATGTATCCAGAGTTCATTGTGTAATGCGGCGCATCAGAAAACAGTTCAGCGCGGTACGAATTCGTCGATATGGTAGTATTAACGTTTCGCCGTGCATTCGTTAGTGCACAACTTCCAAAATAAGTATTTTCATCACGGTACTGCTGGTCTTGGTAGTGGTTCGTATTCTCTATCCCACTCTTTTGAGAGGGGTACGCCATGTTGTATCCATGACGCAGAGTAGGGTGGGGATACAGTCCGGTATTTGGATAGTGTTCATAAGACCCCGTATGCCTAGAGTACGGTTGGTAATCGTTTCCTTGGTAGTAACTAATTGGAGGCTGACCATTAAATGGTGCAGATGCTCCAGCTTTACTTGCCGGTATATTATCGACATCATGATTCACAGAGTAGCTGTTTCGTCGAGGATTGTACATTGCTGGTGACAATGGCGGAGTCATCATCCGATTAGCAGGAATATGACTTGCTGACATGCTATATGGGTATGAGTACGGTGGGTAGGAGTACATGTCTCTATCAAACCCAGCATAAGTTGAATACTGTGAAGATGTATATATCTCACTGAATTGCTCCCGTTTAATGTTTGCTTGATCGGCTGTGCTAGTCGAACTAGTTACACGTATCAAATTTGCTCTATTCGCCGCAAAGCATGTACTCGGCTGACTCAGAAGTAATTTAGCTTGCCCATTTAAATCTGTTAAAGAAATAGGCTTATATATGAATTTCATAATTTAAAACATCATATTTGAACAATGCATCATCATCATAATTTTTTATCATCAAGAACATTATCATAATTATCTTTGTCGCCATCATTCGTCATTTCAATCGCCATCGTTGTCACAATGAAAATATTACTTTTAATAATGATGATATTAATAATAATAATAATAATAATAATTCAATATTCACTTTATTTGGTAAATGAAAACAACAACAATAATAATAAGAGGCTAATAATAATAGTAATAATAATAATAATCTGAGAAAGTATTATTATTAAAAAAATATCTGATACGACATTGGGAATGTATTTGAATCAAAGGTTAGATATACTTACTGGAATTAGTGTATTTATGTATAATTTTGTAATAATAATAATAATAATAATAATAATAATAATAATAATAATAATAATAATAATAATAAGAGGTTAATAATAATAATAATAATCTGAGAAAGTATTATTATTTTAAAATATCTGATACGACATTAGGAATGTATTTGAATCAAAGGTTAGATATACTTACTAGAATTAGTGTATTTATGTATAAGGTTGTGAAGCTCAGTATCCTTTTCATCATTAAATTGAGATTCGACTGCCAATAGGATATACTCATCAAGTAGCATTCTTATCAAATGGAAAGATGCTAAAGTGGAAATAAATAAAACTCCAATGAGTTTGAAAAAAATGTCTATCATGATCAATGTGATCCTCATTAAATAATTACACTATAACTATATAAGAACTGTGTAATATATTCTATCCAAAGACATTCATTATATTACTGTACGGAAAGACGCAAAAAATTGAATAAATAGAATTAGTAATTATATGCAAAAATATCATATTATGTCCAACATAGTCAAATGAAATGGTTAAAAGAATATGGAGTTATTATTAACTCAGAGTATGCACCTTGATTTACTCATTTATTAAGCAAAACGTTTATTGGGCTATTTTATATATTTAAGTAATATCCCCCTTACCAAAACTTGTAGCATTATTCAATGTCAGCGTGTGCATAACACGTGCGCCAAAAAACGACCATTTCAACAGAAAATCTTGGGCTCGCTTCTTTAACGTTCTATGTTTGCTCTACAAAAGAAATGTTCAATGAATAAATATGTCATATATTATATATTATAT